AGAGTGAGGTCGACGGGTCAGCGCCTTTTCTTCACTATAAACAATCTGACGCCCTTAAAGCCATCAAGCTACACTAAATGACGTGGCTTGGAAGGTTGCCAACTGACCGCGTGGTCAGCCCAGTGTTTTCGGTGTTGTGTGGAGTGGTTGATCGACAAACTGAGAGTCAGGCTGTGATGGTTCCTTCATAAGGTGACGTTTATGGTACTCCAACTCAGCTGGGATGCTGGGACAGTTGTGTCTTCTTGACTCTGACCTGACACCAGGTTCGGCCGAGTGAGGAAAGAGGGAGAGAGAGAGTGTGCGGTAGATGCAACGCAAGTCTACTACCACGTAAAACTAACTCACGCGTAAGGCACCGCGTTTGCCTTCAGCCTGTTAGAGCACAAGGTGGACCTCGTCGAAACCGACGATCGAACTGTCATGTGATACAGGCGACAAACTTACGTGGAACACTTATATCTCAGGAGCTAGCAACACTACCACCTAACATATCAAGTACTGACCAGCTGCTCTTAATTGCTCCGAGTTCAACCTGGCGTTTAATAAGTGGCTCTACCTGGACCAAGTTTCATATGGCCACTGAAAGTTCTCGATACTGTGCTGCTGATTTTTCTATACGGCCTAATATGCATTAACCATAAACTGCTTCATATATTTTATTGCTTTAGGAAACACTTTTACGTCTCGTCTGAATAAATCTACTTCTATCAACACCACCAATAGGTCAAGTACCTTACGAGGGTGCATTTCAACAATCGAATTCCTGGCTTTAGAGCTACTCATAGATAAATGCAATAACTTGGGGTAAATTATTCCCAATTATTCATTTGACCCAGTTGTGAAATAATCGGCGGCCCCGGCGGTGGATTCGGAACCACGCCAGCAAGGGGAAGGCTTTAGTACAGCCAACTTTCTAGTCAACTAAGCTATCGGGACCCCACAGGGAGCCGTGATTTTAATCACATTTGGTTCGATTTATCCGCCCAGTCTACTATAAAGTATGGAATCCACCAATTTGCAATTAAGTCTTGTACGCTCAATCGGAGGGTTTGTGTGGGTAGTTGAATCGAAATCTATCAACTTCAGCGGAATAACCTCGTTTTTCTTCTTTGGACGATGGATGGTAAGCCTCGGGACAACGACTGGCATTGAAAGATGTATTCGTTAATCTACTCGAATATGACACAACTGAGATCCTTTCGTCCAGTGGGGATGAGTTGTCACCCAATCCCTTTTAAGCAGCAGCGACTGCTTTTCATGCGGCGCCGATCTGTTCCCTTACTGACGTTTTCCCTGGTTCTCCGTAGATCTTAGTTTGCGGAAACGTCAAATGTGTCAGCTTGCCGAGTGCTCCTCCTCCTGAATACACGGCATCCTATTGAAAAGATTGGTCCCATCTTATAAAATCAGAAAATTCTCCCATGAACACTTTTGTTCAGTAAATTTCGGCCGCTAATCAATGACTGCTGTCGCCCCCTTGTGTCATTCGCATTTGAAAGAATGATAAATGACCAAGGTGCAATAACAGTAAGCAAACTAGTGAACACTACGCTGCCCGAACAGAAGAACAATTGGCGAGATGGGACATTGTGTGGCTGAGACATGCGCTTCGGTATGGCCCTGGTCGATGGCGATGCCTACGTACATCGCCCAACTCCTTTAGGTAGTTGTGGACGTCTGCTAGTTCTCTGCACATGCAGTTTGCCATCACACTTGCTAAAATTGGAAAAGGAATTTGTCAGACCAGACTGCGCAGTTCCCCCGAGGACTTCTTCCAATTTCACGGACACGGCCCAATTTAAGCTTGGTTTACTGTTTGTGGCTAAATAACAGTACCTACCCTGATCCTCTTGCCAACCACCTGATCCCATTTAAACCACACCTTAGCATGTGTAAAACGCTGAGGCCGTTACCTCCTGCCTGACAAATCTCTAAATGCTAGTTTTACCAATCTCTTTATTTCCAGAGGGATTCTCGTAAATCAATTTACAGAGACTCGATGGCATGCATGGGGATGTTTTACCCTATTGTTTCGTCTTCCTGTATCATGTTGCCTGTTCCTCAGCTTAGCGTCTGTGCCCTCCCACTTCCCCGGTCGATCAACTTAACTTCGCCATGTTTGGTAGGGGGCTGCTTCCAGGGACTGGATGTTAGTTCACATGCTGAAATCCGTTTCTGTGGCCAGTTTATCATGCTTACACTTCGTTCTGAAGCTACATCCAAGCTATATGTGCTGATATGAGCAAACCCACACCGCCAATATCAGATCAACCGGGAACCGTGAGCTGACAACTAATTATGCATTCTTCAGACCGAGCAACAAGCATTTAGTCATAAAGCTTGGCTCTCAATCCTGTCCGAATTGTCGGACACGTTAGGCTCGGCTAAGATTTTCTTGATAAGTCAGTGCTCATTTTGCGACCGTCCGATTTCCGTCGAGAGTGCGCGTCAAGAAACTTAATCATACAGTCTTAGTCATCTCACCCAGTGGTTGTCTCGGCAAATCTCTTGCGGGTTGTGCTCCTTCTATTCTGGACCATTTCGGGTGGGTGAGGATAAAGCTGGCGCAAGTGAATATTCAGCCATTGCAGCGAATTAATACGTTCGAAAGAGACCTCTCACCGGAATTAAGAGGCCCACTACGGCGTACTAGTTACTGACCCGAGCACTGCAGCCAAATCCACACACACATATCAACCCTCGGATATCAGCCACTTGTGTCACCTAGTCCAGACAGAGTATCTATCCTACAGAGACAGCTTATGCACCTGCAAAGGCACAAGATAAATAAAGATGTCATATTCAGGCATCCATGGTGGTCGGTATGATAATGGTAACGGGCCAGACGACGTATGGAGCAAAGTGCAAGAAACTGTTAAGTCTACAGGAGCCCGGATAATTGACTAAATACAGTTAGGCTGAAAATGCCGTTCGACAAAACGCACTATGGCAGGCTTCAAGCAAGAAGTCGGAAGCGGAAAAGCAAGATACTTCGACAAGTGCTCATTATTTTGGAGGCAGTAGAATAAATCTCCACAGAAAACGAGTTGCAAAACAAAAAAACACGGGTTTACCGACAAAATGCATCCCAGTAGGAGGAAGGATGAGCAAGCACTAGCGAACGAAACCGAAAGTCGGGCGAGGCAAGGTGGATGTGGTTATGGGTGAACAACCCAAAGAAGGAAAGGCAGATTAATTTGTAAGACAAAAATTAACTTTGACAATTTTACTAACACACATTTACAAGGCCAGGGCGAATTTTGTGAACTGAAACACTGGCGTTAATAACGCATAGGGTGATGAGAAACAGAAGCTCGGTAGAAAGTTACCTAATAATCCGTTTAAAGCGCATATACCAGCAGTTGGAGAAATTTAAGCCGAAAATTTCAGGTAACAGAGGGCATAAGAATTTCGCCTGTCAGTAAAGCAGGGAGGCGCCATAGTCTGCCTTGGAGGGAAGAGGGACAGTGATAGGAGGGGCAGGAGTGCTTGAAATAGTGTGAACACTCAATTAGACGTTCACGCTTTGGGGGACTTAGAGGCAAGCTTTGGGGTAGGGAAGGATGTAGTCCGTTCAGACCGACATTCGCAGCAACAACAGCAGGAATGTGGCCACTCGAAATGGCCGGCTGCGCTTAGGTACTCGTTACAAACGACGTCTTCCGCGAAAATTGTGGGCGAAAAGCCCGAGAAGCAAAGATCTCAGCTGTTTCGAACCGAAGAAAATCAAATGCTACATCATCATCATCATGAGGCCAATTCCTGCTTGGACAAACTTGTGATAAAAATGTTGATAGTGGACATGGAATCCGGTCCAAACAGCTCAATCCCAAAAGGC